AGTTTCACCGACTCATCAGGAGGCTGAACCCTCAACAATCTGTAGAATCCCCTCACTGATTACACTGTAAGTGATAATCCACCTTAACCAAAATCAAAGTAGACTATCACTCACCCACACCATATATATTTGATTGTGAGTATTGTTGGAGGGAGGCGAAAGTGCCTTCTAAGGTCTCGGTTAGGGCCCGCGTCCTTGGTCAAAGTCTTGCTCGCAGGGTAGAGACCAAGGACACTTAACGAGAAGTTGGCGGTTGTCTAGGACGAAGGGAAGAGGATGGTTGAGAGGGGCCGCTGAGACTTATGCTGTAGTACGTATGTCGAGTACACCGGCGTCCTAATGCCAGGGCAATGGAGACCCAGGTTGGAAACCTGGCAGCATATAGTTATAAGGGCTTGGATTGTTGGAGGCCTCAACCCTGAGTCTGTCGGCTAATCGGATTGGTGCCCTTCTCGTCAGCATTTGGGGTTGTGGATGGTTTTATAGCTTTTCGATCTTGCGAAGCGACGGGGACGTCGCTTAATATGGTCCGGTAGCTGTCGGTGCGAGTACGCTGACAAGGGTATCCGCCCTAGTTTTTGCAAGTGATAGGAAGTAAGGGTAAGAGTCTAAGTATGTCGCGCGGGTCGCGGCTAAGTCTGTTGGGTTACACTACTAGGATGACTGACTAGAGTAGAGCGTGAGTGGGCGCGCAGTCTTAAGGCGCTCGTGTGATTCCTCTGTTTGATTAAGTAGCCGGTTTAGTTGGCCGGCCTGATTTTTTTTATGAAGGTTTATTTTTACTTGGGACGGTTGACCACCGGTAGGCCGGCGCAGGAGGTGTGGCGCGAGGTAGCCACGACGCGAGGGGGCAAACCAGCGCGGAGGCCTAGTGACCGCGTGCTGAGTTAGAAGAAGGGATGAGGGTCGGGCTACTTTCATAGGCCCAGGGGCTGTGCAGCACCATTTTATATAGGATCCCACGCGAGCTGGTGCCAGGCTTGGGCTTAGCCCTATAGGTTACGGTACTGGACTTACACAGCGGAAGTGAGGGGATCGAGGCCAGCGGGCGGCGGTGCAAGAGCGAAGGAGCGGCAAAGGAGCTGAGGGGTTGAGGGTCCGGCGGGACTATCCCCCTTGGTTTTGCTAGGGGAGTCCGAACGCGGGCCCGTTTATTTTAGAAATTTTTATTTTTATTTTTACTTTGATATGTTTTCGTTTATTTCACCTTGGGGTCTATTTTAGTCGGGTCCGGCGTTGGGTCCGAGACCTACTGTTAACCCAACGAATCAAAGCTCAACGAGTATACCCGTGGGCTGATGGACCACAGATCCGTGGCTAGTCCCGAGATTGGAGGGATCACGACAGCGGGGCACGAGCCGCTTGCAATCTCGAGCTCCAACGAGCGCCATGGGGGCGCTGTGGAAACCGCCACAATTGTACGTTCGGAGGGACCGGTCGGCGGCAGGTCGGGGCCACTTCTTAGTAACCCCGCTCGGAGTTGTCACACGGTCGGCTGAACGCATCGGAATGCGCAAAGCGCTGACGGGCTGTTTCCTACCAGAGGCTTAGGCTATGGCCCTCGTCAGAGGCCGGGCATTGGCGAAGTGGGAGTCAGGGAGAGGATGTAGTATAAAGGTTAGAAAGCGCTGTGGGGAGGGGCTGGCACGAGCGGACATTGAAAGAGTAAAGATAACAGGCACTAGTACTTAAGAAAGGGGAGCGCATAGAGCGGAGCTGGTGGAGTAAGCAGGAGTGAACTTGGACATGGACCTCGCCAGATTCACTCGAAGTTAGGACGGGGATGGCAGAGTGGGAGAATGAGTAGCGACAGTAAGGAGAGGCGTAACTCCTCCGGTTTTCAATAGAGTTGGGCTGGGTAGGAGCCGGAGGCGAGGCTAGAAGTAGAAAAAGGGGAGTAGCATGAAGAATGGCCGCGCGGAGTAGACGAGGGAAGGCTATGGTGGCAAGAGGGGTGTGATGTCTTACCCCGCGCTCAGTGGAGTCGGGCTACGGGGGGGGCGCTAATTGCTGGCTTTGGGATAAGGCGATTGCATCACAGTGGCCGGATAGGGGAGAGATGGACTATAGCATGAGTTAGTGGCGATGCGAGCGTGAGAGCGAAGGAAGAGAGGCTATGACTGGGGTGAAAATCATAAGATCTCGGTCGTTGCCCAATGAAAACGGATGGGGGAAGAAGTTGAACCGAGTTTTTTGGCTAGGCGAACCTGAATATGAACTTAGTTCGAGCGAAGAGTTGGTAGAATGTAATTTAGTAAGGGAACGGCGTGCACGGATGGAGGCGGGAAGGAAGACTGTGGGGAGTAGAGGTTAGTAAAATCGGTCGATTCTTGACCGTTTCTGGTGGTTTAAAATGTTAGACGGGAATCTTTAGGCACCGCGAACGGAATGATGCGGTCGAAATTGGTAGCAAGGGGATAGCTATGGCGCTGAGATGAATAAAGGCCACGAGAGGGAAAGGCGGTGTGAAACTGCGGATGGATCTATCCGTATTTCAGTGAAAGGTCCGTTTGGGTTTTGCCTGTGGCTTCCTGAGGAGTTGGCGTGGGTGGGGCAGCGGAGTCAAGGGGGCTTGGCCGTTAATCAACGCGCCGCTTGCCGTGAAAGGCGCATCCGGCTGCTCTCTCTCTCTCTCTCTCTCTCTCTCTCTCTCTCTCTCTCTCTCTCTCTCTCTCTCTCTCTCTCTCTCTCTCTCTCTCTCTCCATAGCACGAGTTGGCCGAACTACCGAAGAATTGTGGTTGTCGTCCCGTCGGATATGCACGAACCTGGTCGTAT